TGACCCCAGGCAGCGTTTGACAGGCTCCCAGGGACACCTTTGGTCAGCCTGCACCAACACCAGCCAACCTCAGCAGCACTGCAGTGGAAGCACCTCCTGCTCGAGGCCTGGGAAGCACGGACAGATTTACCCCAAGCACAGCTCTGACCTCATGGCACAAGTTCTCAGCTCATGGCCCAGTTCTCCAGGTACAAACTGACCCACGTGAAACACGGAGACACATTCCCAAGGAACTTCAGCAACACTTGAAGGCCAGAATAATTCCCACTGCTGCTGTGAGCAGGGCAAACCACTGGTCTGTCAAGAGCCCACTGGGCTCTGCTTTCAGCCACAGATCTGGTGAGCATCACCTCACCGTGTGCACCTCTGCCTGAAGCGTGAAATACGAAAGACAAGAGAAAGGAGGAGATGTTTGCAGAGACTCAACACAGCAAGAAATTCACCAACCAGCTGTTAATGACACATATTTAAGAGCTTGCGAAAACATCTGGCACAGATTTCACGTCCCATCCCAGCAGCAAAATGACGCTCTGAAGACGCGAAGTCATGACAACAAACATGAAGTGTAAGCTTACTTTGTTCTCACCTAGCATGACTTGGCAAAATAATGTTTCTGGAATTGGAGGTACACACTTCTTCCCCCTAGGGGAAGTCCTTTGAGGACTCCTTCTCAGAAGGCAGGCAGCAGCCAGCACAAGAGGTCGTGCTGGGAGCACCCATCTCTCAGAGCAAGGATGGTAATTCAGACAAGTCATTTTCAGACCCACTGGTAACATGATAGACTATTATTTGAAATGGGAAATATTCCATTTCAACTGCTGCTCCAGCTATTACTACAATCTGTGAAGCTCAGGCAGCACACAGAATATTTCAAACTATTTGATAAAATACAAAGATAAAAATAAGATGCCTGGGAAAGGCTCATGCTAACACAGGCGGCCATGGGCAGATTATTTGCATCTTGCACGATACTGGGCTTCTCACCAACTGAGATGCAGACCCCAGAGGAGTATGGATGAAGGCTGCTACCTCCACAAGAGCTTCTGCACTTGTCATCAAGTGCTAACGCTGGCGACTGCAAATATTCTTCCATTTTTGCCTACAGGTGCACTACCAAATTTGTTGCCACTTCTGGAACTAAGACTGAGCACAGAACACAGGAAGCACGCTCCCATGAGCCCAGCAATGCCTGCTTCAAACCCGAGCAGTCAGCACATCCTACACCCCACTCACAGACACGCTTGGCCGTGCCTGATGTGCATGGATATGTGAACTTTGTGCCAATTCCAATAAATCAAGCCTGTCGTGGTGCATGTGCTCCTTCACACGGCAGATTGCCTCCACCTGAAACTTCTTGCAAGCAGCCTTCAGTTATTTCAGGTTGGAGAGCTTCACACAGACGCCTCCTGCCAGGAGCCATACGCTGTGTTAACACACGTGGCCAAACACAACTGAAGTGGTTTAGTGGTTTTGCAATACTCACCCGTGGCCTTATACCCCCAGCAGAGCATATGTTGCATCCTCAGTGTTTTGTCCCCAGCTTTTCCTAGCACTGCAACAGGTGTCTGCCCCCAAGATGCTCTCAGTACCTCTTCTCCACACCCTCCACTGCCTCTGGAGAAGGCTCTGTTAGTGTCTATTTGCAATGCTGGCTATTTCCTCCCACCTTCCATCCCCTATGGTGCCCCACCTTTCAGATGCATTCACATCATTCATCTACCAGGCACAACAAAATGGAGCACCTGTAAAGCCAGATGACCTAAAAAAGGCCACACGTATTGGGGCCCTGGGAAAGCAGAGAGCAGGCTCTGGAGAAATGGTAACGTCCTCAGTGTCTGCAGAGACTGGAACAAGGAAACCACCCTCAGTACAGAGAGCAAGAGCAGTTTTCTAAAGCAAACAAAATGCACACACACACTTCCTGGCAATTTGGTCAGCCTGCACCAACACCAGCCAACCTCAGCAGCACTGCAGTGGAAGCACCTCCTGCTCGTGGCCTGGGAAGCACAGACAGATTTACCCCAAGCACAGCTCCGACCTCGTGGCACAAGGCAATGAATGAATCCCTGGGCACTGCTCAGCTCTGCTGCCCCACGGTTGGCAGCTTTCATGTTCTTCTAGTGCAGTGAGCAGGATCACAGAATGGCCTGGGTTGGAAAGGAGCACAGTGCTCATCCAGTCCCAACCCCCTGCTGTGTGCAGGTCACCAACCAGCAGCCCAGGCTGCCCAGAGCCACATCCAGCCTGGCCTTGAATGCCTGCAGGGATGGGGCATCCACAGCCTCCTTGGGCAACCTGTTCCAGTGCCTCACCACCCTCTGGGTGAAAAACTTCCTCCTCATATCCAACCTAAACCTCCCCTGTCTCACTTTAAAACCATTCCCCCTTGTCCTATCATTATCTACCCTCATAAACAGCCATTGTAAACTCCCTCCTGTTTATAAATGGATGATTGCACAGAACATGCTCTGCATCCTATCGCACCAAAAGGAAAACACCAACATAGAATCACGGAATCACTCAGGTTGGAAAAGACCTTAAAGGTCACTGAGTCCAACACGACCTAACCATACTACCCTAACTAACAACCCTGGGCTAAATCATGTCCCAGAAGCATAACCTTCTAGAGCACCTTCATCTCCATTAAATCGATTCCTCAGGCAGCCTCTGAGCGTTCAAATGAATTCAAAACACTCAGAAAAAGTTTCTGTGCACCCTACATGGCACCAGCATGCAGCAGCCCGACCTCGTCTGAAGGCACAGGCAGGGAAGCTGTCCCAGGAACACAGCAGCTCCGTGGCAGCCCTGCCAACAGACTGCAAAATTCAAACATGTTTTCCTTTTAACTTCCAGACTTGCTTAAGAACAATAAAAACGAGGAGGAAAAAGAACGCTCCCGTGGGGCTGCGGCCCCGGCTTCGCCATCTGATCGAAGTCACGGCGGCGTGAAAGGCCCGAGGCGTTAAATCGATTCCCCAGGCAGCCTCCGAGCAGAGCCAGGGAGGAGCTGCGCCCACCCCAGCGCTGCGGGGCGGCCGGGAGGCACCTGCAGGTCGGCAGCAACCAAGCCGTCCCACCGTTCTCACCGATCGCATCGTTTTACCGGTGGATGGAGACGTGCTTTCCCCGAAACCACCTCCTTTTCTGAAGTTACAGAAAAGAAACGCATCGGTTTAACGACAAAAGGTTCCCGTTGGCGGACTGGAGGCTCGCAGTGCCCACAGAGCCCGGCTCTGCCCGCGCTCTGCCCCGCGCCGCTTCACTCCCCACAGCTAGCGGCCACGCGCCCCGTAAAAGCACCTCACAGCCGCTCCTCAAACAAAGGGCCCGAGAGCACAGCGCTCCGTCGGACGCGGCCGGCTCTTCCCCAGGAGCTCAAGAACGCTTCACTCCGACGGCATTTTTCGCTCGGCCGGACCCGAAACTCCGGGGACGGCGCGGCTGCGAACGACCCGAGCGCGGCCCCGTGACGGCCCGTTTGTCCCAGCTCTCAGCCTCAGCGCGCCGTGCCGCTCAGCCCGCGTCCCGCGCCGCGCTCCCGTGCAGCCGCCGCATCGCAGCCGCCCGCCGTGACCCCACCGGCTCGGCTCCCGACGGGGCCCCCCCTGCCGTGCCGGCTGCCCCCAGCTCCCGGCCACCAAAAGTTCCCTCGCAAACCGCACCTGGACTCGGGCGGCGCGCGGAGCTCCGGCCGCCGTGCCGCTCCTCGCGGGGCCGCCCCGCTCGGCTCGCTCAGGTCCGCGCGCACGCGGCTCGGCTCCGCTCGTTCTCCCAGACCCGCTCGCTCTTCGGTTCAAACGCACGGCGCCGCCGCCCGTCCCGGCCCGCCCTCCGGCGCAGAGCTCAGGGCAAACCCGGAGCCGCCCCGGCCCGGAGCGGAGCGCCCTCCGGCCCCGCAGCGCAGCGCCGCCCGGCGATCCAGCCCCGGTGTTGCGGCGGCCCGGAGCCCGCTCCCATTCAACCTGCTCCATTGTGCGCCCGCGGCCGCCTCCCCTCCCAGAGCTCCGCAGCGGGCAGAGCCGCCTGGCCCCGCCGCCCCCGGGCGGCACCTGCTGCGGGGAGCGCCGCCCTCGGGTAACGCATGTCCCGAGGCGCTGCCCCGTCCTCAACTGGGCTCCTTTGCGCTGCTCCTCAATCACGACCCACAGCGCTCCCGCGCAGCCACAGCTGTTTCCTTTCCTCGGCGGTTGTGCTTTTGTTTTTGTTTCTTCTTTTTATTCCTTGAGGAGGAGGAGATGCTTTGGATTTGTTTTCACAGCTCAGCCTGGGCCGATAAGAGCCCAGCGCCATTAACGAGAGGTCCGAACCCAAAGACAGAGCCCTTCCTTTCCTTCCTCTCGGTCTCAGCCTTAAGGAGGACCTTGGCGATGAATATAGGCTCCCTTACAAGCAAAATGCAGTCTGTGTAGAATTATCTCGTGTTTATTGCAGCAGAAGGCTGCACGCACATTGTGAGCGCTCCGTGGGGAAGAACTTCTTGTAGGTAAGGATGGATAAAAAGCACCAGCTACCTCCCGCCCTGAGAAGCACTGTGTCTGTGTGACCCAGTGCTCTGGTGTCTGAGTGCAGCCAGCTGTCAGCGCCCCATGCAAGTTCCTGATGCTGCTTCTGAACACACTGATGCTGGCTGCGCTCCATCACACCTGCCTGCAGAGCCACCCCAGGTACTCACACAGACACACAGCTGCACTGTGCTTGACAAGAAGCACACCTTGGGAGGACCCAGGAATAAACATCCCCTGTGTGTGTTCCTATCTGAGGAAAAGCTGCTTCCAGGAGCCACAGTTCTGCCCCGAAGTCAGCACAGGGTGGCAGAGCAGCCAGTCAGCAGGGCTTGGATGATGAAGCTTTTCAGACCACATCGCTCTCTTTGGTGTCTCATTGCCTAAGGAATACACACAGAGAAAAAAATGCATGAAGTCCTTCACTCACATAATGAGGAGTGTGGGAGACAGCATACAAAGCTCAGGTGTTTGGTATATGAAAAGCCACAACGAATATAAGAAATTCAATCTTTATTCTGGAAAATTTACAAACATACACCTGGCAGACACTTCACACCACTCTGAAAAACAAAACAAGTCCTCAATGTGCTCTGGTCCCCTTTTTCCAATTCCAGAAGGTTTATTCCATCCCATGTAGGCATTTCTAGAATCATCAGGAAAACGTCACTGCTGCTCACAGCTGTGGGTACCCAGCAGGAACAGGACATGGCAGTTAGGATCTGAGGAACAGCTCAGCTTAACAACACTTCCATTCTTGCCCTGCCTAATATCACTACACTTCAGTCCCATACAGACTAAATTAGAAAGCACTCTGTAGTTCTTGGGTTTTCTGTTCAAGACAAGGAACCCCAAGTGCTGGCACTTGTTAGCATTAACTTACACTTTACACAAGCATGTAACACATAACTGCCCTGCTTCCAGTCCAGCCTCCCATCCCATCCTTAAACTTAGTTTCTCAACCAGCTCACAAAACGTTTCAATGTCCACACGAGTTTACTGTTGCTTATATGACCTCTAATCCTTTCAGAGAAGCTTTCTTCTTTCCATATCCCCTTATTTTTCCTCAAGGCTTTCAGCTCCGCTCGGAGAAGTCTTTTGTGCAGCTCCCAGAACAGGTGAGAATCGTGCTGCAGTCCTTCTATGCTCGCAGCTCTTCCAAGCCCTTCTCTCAGGACCTCTTCATTTAAGCACACGCTGGAAAATCGGCCCTGCAGAACAGCATGGGGAATGTCACATCCCCTTATCCCTTACAGAGAGCATGCATGCAGATGTATGTGCTGCCTCGGAGGTACAGGCTGTACTTCCCATTGAATCTGTGCTCATGCAGAGAGAAACTTTTAACTTTCAAAGCTTTTTCACTTTTTAACTCATTTAGCTGAGTTGAACGAAATTCAGCTGACTTTTAAAATGGTACTTGTGCAAGAGAGCTGTAAGAAGGCATTGCATGGCTTGAACATTAAGCCCACCAGAACTGCCCGGTGCAGCCAGGTTGGTCCACAGATACACTCATCTCAGAATCTGGTTTAAAAATACATTACTTAAGATTCATGTAAATATAAATCCAGGCTGGATGTGGCTCTGAGCAGCCTGGTCTGGTGGTTGGTGACCCTGCCTCTGGCAGGGAGGTTGAATCTAGATGAGCATGGTGGTCCTTTTCAACCCAGGCCATTCCATGATTCTATGAAATGGCATCGATAACATTCTGATGTACTGAGATAACTGCCCGATCGCAGCCAAACCCCACAGTTTTAAGTCATTCTTACCACTGCATTTACCTTATTTACTAAAACAAGGCACTCGAGTGCCAAGTGCTCCCTCCCGAGAAGCTGGAACCAGATCACTTGTAGGGGTTTCAGCTCCCTCTGAAGCCACGCCGTGCCCTCGGGGGTCAGCTCCACACCGGCCAGTCTCACCAGCAAGAGCCCCTCGGGCTGCCCTGCGCACAGACACAGCACTCCTTTACCAAACACAGCAGACAAGTTAGCTGTCACGCTTTGCACACGGCCTCAGCTGTTGTTAATGAGTCTATTCCCACAGACATTATAACAAATAAATCAGTTCTAGGGTTTTTTTCCCCTTGGAATGAGAGGAGCCATGCAAACAAATGAACCGCCCAGACACTTGAGTTTTGCTGCCAGAAATACATCGCAGTGCTGCTACTGCTATTAAAGTGTCAGCAAGCTCTTCCTACAGAGCTCTCCTCGCTCCTTCCCATTCCTCAGTTTCCCATCTGTACAGTATGGGAAGACCAAAGGGCAAAGCCAGACCACAACTTCACCTCTGTCCCAGCACCGATCTCTGTACAGACACAGCACTTCGCATCCCATCGATTCACACCCACCTGTTTCCAAGAATAGGATTTAAAAACTCCTGACCTATTTCTGCGTGCATTGCATTTCTCTCCACGTACTTTTACTCACACTTTCTCTGTATTGAGGTAATGAAAGGAACGCTGATGGGGATGTGCTCCACTTCCAGACCCATCTCAGTGACACGATGCACTTTTCCTCGCAATTTCACATTCTTTTCTATAAACCCTGCAGGTATATCCAAAGCATTTGTAAACTTTGTTGTCTGTTGATAGGAAGAAGAACAAGTGTTAAAAAAAGAACAGCCACAGAGCAGTTACAGTCAAATCCAACTTCTACAAATAGTCCAACTTCTACAAATATCTGGTGAATCACAGCCGTGCTGTTAAACAGCACGAGGAACTGCTTTCTGTTAGACAGCAATGAGCTGCAGACACACAGCAGCCTTCACACTCAGGAACGCTCCCCATTCTGCAGGGCATGCAGCACGAGGCACGGGCACGAAAGCTTAGAGAAAAACAGAAACAGATGGGTTTGAGCAATACAGGTTGAAGTCAACTTGATTCACCAAGAAAAGAAGGGTTAGAAATGGTCCGGATGGTGCTAGAATGGGGGAGAGGAAGCAAAAAAGTGTTTGAAGACACCAGCAAAGAACAGACACAGCAACAACAAAGGCAGAGTGGAGGACAGAGGGAACAACACAGCCTTTGATAAGGGAGTAAATAGGAGAGGGACAAAAGCAGGTGTGCACCCATGCAGAGATCACAAGATGAGTGAATTAGATACTACATTCTGTTCACAACAGGATTCAAAGGAGAGTTATATGATCACACAAGGAAACAAAGCTTAACAAAGCTGCAGTACAGGAACAAAGCTGCTGCTCAGTGAGAGGACAGAGGGAAAAGATGCACTGGGATGGCACAGAGCTCAGAATGAAGAATCTTAATTAACTTGCAGAGCTCTCACTGCAGGAAATCCTTTGCAGAGGACTGACACACATCATCGACACACCGATGGGAAGAACTGGTGAGGCACTGGAACAGGCTGCCCAAGGAGGCTGTGGATGCCCCATCCCTGCAGGCATTCAAGGCCAGGCTGGATGTGGCTCTGGGCAGCCTGGGCTGCTGGTTGGTGACCTGCACACAGCAGGGGTTGGAGCTGGATGAGCATTGTGCTCCTTTGCAACCCAGGCCATTCTAGGGTTCTATAAACTGAGCTGCTTCTGCAGAGCTCCACCGCCCTGCAGTGACTGCCCTGAGCTGCTCCCCCCGACCACCTCCGTGGGACGAGGTCTCTCAGTGGTGACACAGACTGTTAGGACCTAAAGTCTAAAGAGCAGAAGTGGTTCAAATCTGGTCTTAACAGCTCTGAAAAAACCCCACCAGCCTGGTCAGTGTGGGAAGATTCAGGTTTATGCTGAGAACTGTTAGAAACGTCGTTCTGCTTGTAGAAGTGTGGAAAAAGACACGAGGAACCAACTCTACAGTCAACTGAAGCACAAACATGAGAGGACTTGGTCCCTGGGCCACACACACAGCTGTGCAACGGGGAGATGGAGCTGGAGAGGAGGAATCGGGGAAAACAAGACGACAATTAAAAAAATAAAATCCAGAAATAAGGTGACAGGGAATACAAGAGCAAGCACCGGCCTCGCCAGCCGGAACGCGAGCCGGGTCACGACGCACCGGAGCCGGGGGGGGGGACGGGGAAAACGGCCTCGAGAGCCGCAGCAACGCAGGGCGGGCGGTGCCGGCAGGGGGCGCCATTCCGGCAGGAGCAGCGGCACGGGGCTCTGCGCAGCGCAGCGGAGCTGGGGGCGGCCCTGGGGAGCCCGGCATCGTTGCGGGGTTGGGGGCAAGTGGGGGAACGGGGGTCCCGGCGCTCCGCAGCCCCGCCCCGCCGCACTCACCAGGCGCACGCTCCTGGCCAACACCAGCAGCCCGGCCACCGCCACGCCGGCACTGAGACTCTGCGGGGAGATGAGATAGAAACGACATTCAGCCGCACCGGCACCGGCACCGCTCCCAGCTCCCGGCCCCACCGCCCTGTTACCCGCACGAGGCTGAGGTGCGCGTCCGCCCACTCGGAGAGGCGGCCCAAACCCTCGGCCGCTGCGCTGCGCCGCTCCGCCATGGCCGCCGCCCCGCCCCGCAGCGCCGCCCCCGGGCGGAGGGCGCTCCGCCTCCACGGACGCGCCTCTCCGTACCGAGGGAGCGGTGTCAGCTTGCCTCTGCGTATGGGAACCGCGCAGAAACCTCGTTCTCAGCGAAAGCGTAAAGCAGACGGACAGAGCTTCAGCCTCTGGCATCGCACGGCCTCACCGCCGCTCCGCCTCCGTCAGCTGCCGGCAGCGCCCGAAAGCTGAGCGAACACAGCGCAAACCGCCGCCCGGGTTGAAGAGGAACTTCTATCACACCGCATACAGCCCCGATGCGGAGCTCAGTTTTGACGAGGAGTTCAGCTAACGTATCACTCCAGCAATGCCCAACGTATCTTTATTACTAGCAGGCTACATCAGCACCTCCAGGAACAGTGCATCAAAAACGCACAGTAGAAGTTAACTATAAAACATCGATGGATTTGATTTCCCACATCCTGCAGTTCAGGATCATAGAATCACAGAATGCCCCGGGTTGCAAGGGGCATTCCAACTCAAGGATCACAAATCTCCAACCCCCTGCCACATGCAGGGCCACCAACCTCCACATTTCATAGCAGCCCAGGCTGCCCATGGCCCCACCCAATGGCCCTGAACACCTCCAGGGATGGACGGGGCATCACAGCCTCTCTGGGCAGCTGTTCCAGCACCTCACCACCCTCTGTGTAAACAATTTCCAGAGGATTTTTTTTTTCCAAAGGATTTTTCTCTCAACTGCAGAGGAGCTGGGAAAAAAATCCTGCCAGCACAGACAAGCTGCTGCTAAAATAAGCAGCCCATATGTACCTAACCCAGTAGCACTCGTGGCTGCAGCTGAAAAATATATCCTTTGGCTACAAATCCCCAGTATATTCTAACACTCTTGCTGTGCTTATGCAGAGGTGAAACTGGAAGACCTGGTTTAGGGAGTAAAACGTGCTGATGCTTACTTTGTTGTTTAGTAGTTGGAACAGATGGAATGGAGCACAGACGCACAGGGTGTGCAGCCCAGGCACACTACTGGCCCTCAGGGGTGCTGCTCTGACAAGTGGAGCAATGGGCTCTGTACCCAAGGGAGCACTTGGTCACTGTCCTCTTCTGGCACCGTCATGCACGCACTTGATGCACACCCCTATGCCCCCCCAGTCAGTCCAAAGCTGCTATCAACTTGGCTTTTTTCTGGAGCATACAGGAACAAAAGGTGCACAGGCCGTGCCCTCCCAGGAGCTCAGAGCATGAAGCTCACAGTGCAATACTTCCAGTACTGACAAGGCAAGAAACAGAGCATGGAAAAACAAATCGCGTACCTTTCAGAGGTATTTTTAATCGTTTTAAATGATGTACCATAAACATCCATCACGTCACAAGTGCCCTGTCTCCAGCAGTACAGTAGACCTGCTGTACATCACTAAGGCACTCAAGAGAGAAGTCATTCTTCATTAATGCACCAGGAGATTTCTGCTGTGAAGGATCAGTACAATTCCTGCAGCACTCGACCACACGATGTACCCTGTTGGCTTTACACACGAGCAGGCTGGACGCCACTGCCCAGCAATTTGGCAAGTTTGTCATCACCAACTCACTTCCAAAGGCACCATCTTCTGTTCCTGCCCCTAGCTGGGAAGAGAGACGTGTTTGCTCCCCGATTATCTTCAAATTTCAGCATCAAAGGAACCGACGTGATCAGTTAATCCCAACGGAACAACTGCCTCCACAAGGACTGCACACCCTCTCCTTTTGAAGCCTGTGTTTTATGTGCTAACCCCACGCCGTGCAGTCTGTGCCAGCAGGGCTGCAGGCTCGGTGTATTGTGCGCTACCCAAGTCCTACTTCCCTTCAACTTTTCATCAAATCAAAATGCTTTGAAACAGAGGAAATAAATTAAACAAATGTAACTTTGTTTATAAAAATATTTTCTTATAAATCTTTAAAGCTTAAAAAAGCCAGAAAATACATTTAAAAGAATCTCTGAAACATTAATTCGTCCTCTGAGGTGTGGTTACAGTCCAGAAAGCGAGAAGAAACAAAGCCCAAAGACAAGTTACATTTCTCTTCCCACGATGAACTCTGTAGTACAATGTGCTTAACCTCCAAGTCAAAACACCTTCCACGTCCTTCCCCTGGTCCACTGCCTGCACCACATCATTGGTTTGAAAATTAAGAACTGGAACTCAGCTAACCAAGCTGCTGTTCAGCTTTTCCATACTTACTATATGGAAAATTCAGGTGTTGATTCTATCAGAAGCCATGACTCTGAAGCTAGAGCATGGGGATCTCTATGCAGTACGTAAGTGCCATTTTCTCATCCTCACATTCTGAACTTGAATTTTCACACTGGGAAGGCAAGTGGTATCACATTCACACATACCACTGTTCCAGCAAGTTGGCATGTAAAAATACCTATATTCCTGTTTATTGATTATGGGATACGTCTCTGTAATAAAACTAAAATGATCTCGAGTCCATCCAGTATTCAAACCGCATCAGTTGGTCCTCTTGCACTTCCATGAAGACTGTCCTTCATCCTGCAGCTTTTTGAACTTTGGCCCAAGCAGGAACCACCAGCCAAACCCCAGAATGACACAGATGACAGATTCCACGTAGTAACCATCCAGGGTGGTGACACAGGAACCACCAGCTTTTGTGCAGAGCTGGAAGGCAGAAGCAAAGGTAGAGGCATGAAGTATTGCCTGGGAGATACTGAAACACAAGACTTGTTAGCAGCAGGCACTGGATATTACAGTTTAATTGCTGTTTCAAGATTCTAACTAAATAAATCTTGCTCTTTTTCTTACAGAAATGATGTGAGGCTTTTGAGCTCACACAGTTGGTGTGAGAAACAACAAAGCTTTGTTATAAAACATGTGGGAGATGGAAATATTTGGCCAAAGGAGTAAATGCTACTAAAGAGGTGCAATGATTATTCTCAATTTCGTGAGGGGGTGGGGGGAGGAAATTCTATCCAAATTGCTTTTTCAGAAATTACAGCCCTGCACATCACACAGGGAACCCACAAACAGACAGCACAAAGCGAGCAGCCTGCAGTTATGTCTGAGGAAAACATGCCAGGGATGCTTTTTAATTACAGAACTGAAAGATAAAAACACATTGAGGGGGAAGGTGTTTGGTACACGACTGTTTCTGCTATTGTTTGTCTCTCAGTGCTGCTATGATCCCAAGATAAAGCAATCCCATAAACAGAGGTTTCTGCCAGCATGTGTGTGATTCCGAGATGTGTCAGAATCAGATTAGGAGGAAGAAGGGAGGTGTGGTGGGGGAACACTGCCAAGTGGAAGGATGCAGAAAAACACTGGAGGGGTGAGCTGAAAGAGCAGGGCCCTGAGCAACAGATGCCAGGGCACAGGGGACCAAGTCAGCAGCAAGCTGAGACACGTGCTGAAAAGGCACTGCAGGAGCAGCTTCTCCTCTGCAACCACTCAGAACTGCAACTCCACTGGTAGAAGTCAAATGTGACTTGTCTGAACACTGTGTGTGCTTAGAGGACCACACATCACAGAGTCCTGTAAACACAGGAAGGTATTCAAGACTAAAATCTCAATTACAAGAAAGGAAAAAAACCATGCAATACGACCCCCTCAGCATTTCCACTCCTCCAGACAGTTGCATTAAAATTTGTCATTCGCCCACAAGGAGGTGAATGCGAAACCCAGCTTCCCAGCCAGCTGTGCATGCAGTTGTTTGATCCATGCACAGCAGCACAGTATGATCTCTGTCCTCTTCCACAGGGCTCCCCAGAACTGGGAAGGCAGCCAGTCACACTGCTCAGCTCCACGTGGAAAGCAGAGATCAAAGACAGCAAAGTAACATCACGGTAGAAGGAATCGAGGTATGAAGCCAGGAAGCCTCCAGACAGACAGAACTAAAACCTGCCACAAAGCTGCGGTGATGTGGAGACAGACAGCCTGCCAAGCACAGAGTGCATACTTACACAGCTCCAGGCTGAGCAAAGTTTACTCAGCAGCTACAGCCTCCACATACTGGAGAGGATGCAGCACTGATCTACTGCTTCCACCATCAGCTTTTCTCTCCAGTTAAGACAGAAAGGAACAACTACTCTGCAAGTGGAAATTTTTGGTGAAGGTTTTAACTCTGAAGAGTGCACAGATGAAAACAGACCGAATTTACCGGACACGAAAATCAGTTCTCAGAGAGAGAATTTTTAAGTGTAAACTATGCACTGCACAGGCTTTCCAAGGTGAACAAAACATACTTAGAGAAGCCATTTTACCAAGAAATAGTTGAACAGAGACCTTCACAGCCTGCAAACATACCTCTGCCTCAAGTGCACTCCCACAGGCCTGTGGCTGGGCTCCTGCGCACTCCTTAACCGTGAGCGGATCAACGAGCCACAGCGCGACGGTGGACGGCCAGTTCCCTCCCAGGTTGGACACAGTGTTGAGCAGCGTCATGTAGGTCCCTCCGATCAGCGGGTCGCTGACTCTGGCATTGAAAGCCATGACTGCAACATACATGCTATACAGCGAGATCTACAGGATGGAAACCCACGGGACAGTAAGGTCTCCCCAGTCGCAGGCAGGGACAACAAAAGCCCTAACATAAACACTGTTTGAGTGATTACTTGAAGTTAGCAATGTTGAGGCAAAAACAATCCCAACAGGTTTAAAGTCGTACAACAGAAATTAGTCCTGCAGTTTCCCTGCTAACATCAAGCTGCTGTGATGCTCTCATCGAGTCACAGAAATGGATCCAGTCTCACAGGCAATCGAGTTACTCAAATCCAACTGAACTTATCACAAGGCCAAATAAAAAAGCATATAAAAATAACACTTTTGCTTGCTCTGATCCAAAGACCAGTTTGCACCAGGCCTACGGATTGGATCCATTCTGCTGTTTCTGCAGATCAATAGAGCAGTCACAAAGCTTTATGGAGCTGCACAACAGGCACGATCACCACCGTGCTTACAAAGCTCAGTCAGAATGCTGGTATTTCTAATGGTACCAAGCTTCTGAGCCT